GGAAAGTAAAGTTGTGTAGGTTAGGGATGCAATGTAAAGCAATGTAGGTTAGGTTTAGGAAAAGAATCACAGTTGGGTGTTGTTGCATTATGTAGTTACATAAATTACGTTTGGTTAGGTTTAGAAAAAATAATCATGGTTGGGCATCATCATATTACGTATTTGATATAAAGTTACGTAGGTTAGAGTTAGAACAGTATAGTTACGTAGGCTAGATCTGGGAAAGTTAAGGGAAATTGGGTTTAAGGGGAATTGCCCATTGGTCCGACAGCCCATTGTTCCAACCATATTAAACCCATTGTTCCGAGGTCCGTTCCGAAATCATCATGATGCCCTGTGGTTAAGGTCTGGTTAGGGTTAGGCACAAAAACCACTTGGTTAGGGTGAGGAAGGGTTAGATCATGGTGTGGGTTAAAATGAAAAAGAAAGTGACAAACACATAAGCTGTGAGCCTGCTTCGCCTCAAGCCTTTCCCAGCTGAGCCGGTCGCAGCGCACCATCAAGGTAGAAATATGCCCGCCGGGAGCCATTCAGCACCGCGGACCGTCGGACTAATGGGATGTCGGACCAATGGGCTGTCGGACCAATGACATGGACCCGGGTTTAAGACAGTAAAATTATGTGGGCTAGGTTTAAGAAAGTAAAGTTACGTATAGGTTTGGACAAGTTAAGGTATGTAGGTTGGGTTTAGGAAAGTAAAGTTGCATGGGTTAGCTTTAAGAAAGTAAAGTTACTTAGGTTAAGTTTGAGACAGTAAAGTTACATAGGTTAGGTTTAAGAAAGTAAAGTTACGTATAGGTTTGGGAAAGTTAAGCAATTTAAGTTGGGTTTAGGAAAGTAATGTTACGTAGGTTAGATTTGAAAAAGTAAAGTGGCGTGGGTTAGATTTAGAAAAAGAATCATGGTGGGGCATTGTCACGTGACATACTTAACGTAAAGTGACATCGGTCAGATTTAGGAAAGTAAAGTTGCGTGGGTTCAATTTGGAAATGTAGTTACTTAGGTTGGGGTTAGAAAAGTAAAATTACCTGGGTTAGGTTTAGGTAAAAAAAACATAGTGGCGGTGACACACCTTAAAATAACTCAAAGTTCACTTGGTTTTCCCACGGGGGAAGTCGTGTGTTCGTTTGACCCATCCAAGACTCCATCCTAACTCTTTATGCAGACTTTCCCTTTTTAAACTATATATTTATATTTATCTTTACTCTCGTCAGCTCATTTATCACGTGATCGCAGCCTTCATGGTCATGCCAGTTACATACAAATTCTGGTGCATTACTTTCATAAGTATATGTACGAACAGTGCATGAGAACATTCATCGTTAGCTGAATCAGTGATACTCAACTTACAGCCCGCAGGCCCACAACAGAGTGCCAGGTGGCTCCTCAAACTTTTTCTAATTCACCATGAAAATAAATTCACTTGGATTTTGTTGTTTTGTTCTTTTAACGTTAATAAGGTGTCACAGTGGATTAAAATGCTTCAAAACAGAGCTTGTTTATCAAAAAAAGTGCAAGAGGAGGATCCCCTGAACCCCCCTACATAGGTCTGGGCTGAGCCCCAAATATCCTCAAATCCTGTGTACACCTGACCTGTGCCACATTGCTGCAACTAGCCTCTGACCTCCTCTCGTTTTACAAAAGTGCCCCCCAGAGAAAGCAAGCTGAGTATCCCTGCGGTAGATGTAGTCTTATTTCAAACCATACATACATACATATGTATGTACCATACATACACCATTGTGTAAGAGACTAGATTTGGACTAATACAGTAATTGGACCAGCTCCATTATAGTATCAATATGTGTTCATGCACGTCTGGTGATGAAATTTATACAAAATGAGAAGACTGAAGTTTTTTTTATTTTTCGTGAAATATTTAATATGAAGACTGAAACCAACTTAGGACTCAAGTAAAGCTGACTTGCTCTGCTAGCTGTTGCCAAAGGCAAGGTGACTGTAACAGTCACACACTCCCACACTGCTTTATTCTTTGTCTTGCAAATCAAAACTTGTCAAACACAGAAGTAGACATTGGAGTGTGCAAATACTCACTCGTTGGTGTTTTTTTCTTTATATGATATCAGGTTTTTCAACACAATAATGGAGGGGTTATGCTTGCCTGATCGATTAGTAAGCATTAGTAGAATGTGAGGAAGGATCCTTACCTTGGACTGACAGTGTTAACTGAGCACGAAAAGAATTCACTGCTTGTAACGTGTATACTCCAGAGTCTTCGAGCTGTAGTGACCTTATAGTCAACGATGAAGAGGTTGAATTGAATGTAACCCTGTCACTCCAATTGTCACTTATGATTTCATCTCCTGGGAATATGATCACGATGATGTCGTTGTCGAACAGCCATGCACCTGTAGTGACAGTGTTCCGGCTGAAAAGTGTGACTGTACTGCCCACCGGTAACGGGTCCTCAGAGGGATATATCATCTGATTAGTTGCAGCTAGAAACAGAAAGCAAGGAACAGATTCAGTCACCCTTAAATGTAGTTATAATCTGCACACCAGTCAAAGCAAGTAGCAGGTTTAAAAAAAAAATTATCATTAAGATTTATAAACTGGCTCTCATCTGAACTGAATCAATGTGATAAAAATTCAGACTTACCTGCTGTAAAGGTTGTCGAAACCAGGATCAGAACAAACACAACTGGAGACCCCATTTCACTCTTCAGTTTCTTTTTGGTTTGATTCTTCCTTGCTGGCTAAATGGCCCTCACCCTGGCTGGGATAAATTCAAATCTGGCGATACTGTATAGTCACAGTCGCCTTTTGATCAGCAAATATTTGCTCTACTTCCCCCAAGCCTTCTGTTCGCATGATGTAAATGCTTACCCCTACCATCACCAAGCACCACCTCACAGCCCTGGCCACACCTTGTTTTGCCCTGGTCCACATCGGTCCACACCAAGGAGTGTCCATTTACTGTAAACCTCAGTGGTTCTGCAGCTTTTAACCAACCAGAGGATGGGATGGATGGATATTTTGTAAGTGTACTGTATGTCTCTGAAGTGTAACAAAAGCAAATACCCATTCAGTGAGGAGTTGGTTCTTTTATGCAAAATATACTTGTGGGCTTACACAACACGTCCTCCCACAGTGCAGGTGGAATAAACATTGGAAAATTCAGAGAAAGACTGCCAACAAAAAAGAAACGTATTTAATATTTCTTATTTAAAGGCCATACAAATTCATTTAAGCACATTTTGGAATACAGACAGTTTTGCTGTTACTGTTATTTTATAATTACTGCATTATTAATAACAATATCAACAGTATTTAATGGAGGACAATAGACCATCTGTTTGTTTGCTGGACGTTTCTCTTTCTCTGTCTTTGTTTAATGTAGTTCAGACAGAATTCATATCCTATTTCTTTACAAAGGAGATTCGTTTTCATAGTAAGACTATCATTTAAACATCTGAATTTGTCAAATAGCTCTAAAGAATATGCCATAGGTGTCTTTTGAATCATCAACGGTCTTCCAGTTTTACCTCTCGACTGTCAGCGGGCTTTAATGAGTGATTTTGATTTTTCTTTTGAGCTCAGCCACAGAAGAACGAGTATTTCCTCATCATACATCATAAATAATGACAGCAATTCAAGTGGATATAATGAGCGCTGTAAAGCACATGGAAGGCCTACAAAGACCTAATGGTACAACACTGTGCAGTGGGGTTTATTAAAGATAAAATTGAGTCGTTTTATGGTGGGGTGGCACAGTTAATATACCTGTACCTGACTGCTGTGTTTGAGGTTTGCCGTCATGCAAAGTATTTTTAGCTCACTTCAAGTAGTTCTTATCAGCCTGAATTCATTGTTTGATAAGAGAAAACACATACTCCATGCCTCACAAGTTTAATGAAGACAATCTGTGCGTTCCAGTACCCATACTACCATACTATACATATGCCAGAAAAAGATTTAGTATCCCAATAGATAGTAGGAGAAATGCAGTGTGCCAAAAATACCAGGATGTTCTATTGACAGCTGATTGACGGCTGTCAGAAGTCGCAATGATGGATGACAGTGCATTCAAGTGACTGATGACGGGTCAAACAGTAATAATGGGAATATTGATTGTTTAAGTGAACAAAATAATCATAAATATTACAAAAAACATAAGGACATAACTATAAAAATAACAATGACAGAAAAGTGCAGATGTGATTTCACTGTCACAAATCTACAATCCGTGTTATAACTTTAAAGTTAAACTTCATACATTGCAAAGTAACAACAGCAGAGCTTTCCGGGTTGATCTGGCGAACTCAGTAAGTGGCATTTTTTTTTTATCTCTAAGGTTATGCGTATAAAAGCAAGAGAGTCAAAGTTCAGGGTGTAATGTTATGAGACAGTAGTGTGTCCTGATTGTGTGCATTGGGCATGCAACAGTTTTACTTTTTAAGGGCAGCTGCAGAACCTACTAAAAGTAGAACGAAAAAGCATGTGATTTAGAACGCACCCAAAGTTTCGATCCTACTTGGATCTTCGTCAGGTCAAAATCTTCATCAATTTTTACCTGACGAAGATCCAAGCAGGATCAAGATACTGGGGCGTGGAAATAGAATAAGTTTGCAGACATTACAAATATTTGACACGACTGATTTTAACCTTTTTTTTCATAATTTAATTGCTGAATCAAAAAACAACCAAACATTTTAATCTTGAGACACACAGAAGTGGTTGTGAATGTTATTGCTCAAATGTTCATTGTATCAGAGTCATCCATGGACAGAATGAGCCACCAACATCTGTGAAAGAAAGGCAGTTATTAGTCATGATAGTTATTTCACGGTATACATAACATTACAATGTATATATTTTTTTTCATCCAATACTATTGTGCACAAAAATATTTGTCCATTTCGTTCTCCCTCCTTAAAGTGACAGTTCACCCCAAAAACAAAATACTTTTTACCTGTAGTGCTGTTTATCAATCTAGATTGTTTTGGTGTGAGTGATGGAGATATCGGCTGTAGAGATGTCTGCCTTCTCTCCAATATAATGAAGAGAAATGCATGCATTTTGGCACTTTGAGCTCCACAAGCTGAGTGCCATCTAGCTCCATTATATTGGAGTGAAGGCAGCTGTCTCTCCAACACTCTGTAACTCACACCAAACACAATCTAGATTGATCAGTAGCACTTCAGGTAAGAGGAAAACATATATTTTCAGATTTTGGGGTTCCTTAAGTTGAAGTATGACTGAATGTTTGTGTAATTCTTTACACTGTTAATTATTTTTTTCCAAAATGTATTCGGCAAAACAAAGGAGACACAGTCTAGAACACACGTTGACTTTAGTGGAATTAATTAAAGGCGCTGTATGTAAGAATGTGGCCAAAACAGTTACTGCACTCAAATTCAAAATACTGCCGCGAGTCGTGTCCGCCCCCCCCTCCCCTACAGATTCGAGGTTGCTGGACAGTGGCACGCTGGAGACTGATTTGTTTGTCCACGGGCAGCTGCCGTGGCAGGGCCGCGTCGCCGCGTCCTTGATCTTCGGTTTTCCAGCGGACTGTTCAAGCAAGTCCGGCTTCTCTGCTGCTAACGCTGCTGCCGGGATACAGCTGAGGAGGAGCCGGCTGCTAATGCTATGTACCGGGACACTGCTAATGCTACTTGCTGTGCTGCTGTAGCTCAGTCGTAACTGTAAGTGATGCTGAGACTCTACTGACTGCATGACTGGTGGTGGGTGGCGCAACAGGCCAAAACACAAATTCAAAACCTAAACATGATTTGTGGACTGTAAATTTTTTTTTTTTTTAATGCGAATATTCTGGCCGTACTATTGTTGTCAGTGAGATCAGTATTGTTATGTGAACATTATTTCTTAGTCTCTGTGACATATTAGCATGATTTTATGACTATTTGCTTTAGATTTCTTACATATAGCTCCTTTAAATTGATTAATATCATTTTTAACCAAATCTCATTTTTTTTCCTTTTTTTCCAGTGATAGTAAATTAAATATCTTTGGGTTTGGACAAACACAACACGTTTGAATCTTACAACTTGGGCTTTTGAAGATTCTGAGAGGAATTTGTCCCAATTTAAGGCATTTCATAGACAGAACTTTTAACTGATAATTATCATAGTAATCAATGATAAAAACAATGATGAGTCACAACCTGTTGTCGTGACAGGAAGCAGTTTTGACTTTATACCTGCCCCCTGCTGCACATATCTAACAATTTAACTCACATATCTTGTTCAAGACTTGAACTGATCTGAAATAATGTAGAAAAGTCACAATTTTGAAGGGACAACATTTGACAATATGCAGAATTTAATTTCAACATCTAAATTAGAATATTTTCAAGTGTATGAATGATAAAAAACAGTGGTTCCCAACTGGTGGGTCGTGGTCCAAAAGTGGGTCATGGGTCCAATCTAAATGGACCGCAAGTGTCTCCCAAATGTGTCAGTTTTGTAAAACTCACAATTTATTTTTAAGTACAGTAAATTTCCAGCACAGAGCTTTTCTTTTGAAATGCTGTTTTCTGATGTGGAGTGACAGCAACAGACAGCAAATTGACAGAGACAGCGAACTAGCTCGAGGACATGGCCAAACACAACTATGACGCTGAATGTATTAAACTGTGGGACCTCAAAACGAATGACTCAGGAGAAATCTGGACCCCGTGGCTGGACCAGTTGGGAACCACTGATTTACAAGTTGTTCTGCAACTTGCCTGACACTGAGAAGAGGAACCCAACCAATAGTAGCAGTGGCAGGAGCCACACATTGACTGCCTGTTGTTCAGACCCTGACAACGGGAACTCTGTAGAGATGAAAAAAAGTGAGGATGAAGTCAGGAACAGATGGAGAAACATACAGGTTGTCACTATACTAACAAACTCACCTCCTATCAGGATGTTTGCAGTGATGCTGCTGTTGATGTTGGTGTGATTGTTGAAGGCCAGACAGGAATATGCACCACTTTGGCCCTCGCTGACACTGAACAGCTCCAACAGTGGACCTGTAGTGTTCACAAGCTCTCCTCCGACAGCCCACTGAAGCTGAGCTGGAGGATTGGACTGTGCCGAACAGAGCATGGTCAGATTGGATCCAGCGGGGAAGGAAGTCGTGTTCTGTCCGTTTACTGTTAGCGCCATGTTATCTGGACCATCTGAGAAAGAGACAGAAAGAAAAACCCAGAAGAGAAGAGCCCTGCAGCATTTTAGAGCTCTGTTAGCAAAACTGGACGGACAAATTGTGATTCAAACGACACTGTCCTACTCACAGCTGATAGTAAAGTTTACTGCATCACTGGTGCCATTACTGACAGCATTGACCACATGACACCTGAACGGTCCCTGGTCGTAGCGGGTCACGTTGACTATAGTGAGAGTGGAGTTTCCATCAGTGAGCTGAACTCTGTCGCTGGCTGTGACCTCAGAGCTGCCGTTCAGCCAGAGGAAAGAGAGAAAGGATCCAGAGGAGACGGAGCACTCAATGACCGGTGAACTGTTGAACTCAATCAGGTCGGTTTGATTCATCCTCAGTGTCACGTTTGAAATCAGCTCTGTGAAAGACAAATGGAGGAGACGAGGATCAAGATGTTTCAACATACTGTACACTGTGAGGCTTTGTAGTAGGCGAATAATGAAGGACCAGCACCCATACCAAAAAATGGATGTTAATGGTCTCATAAGCCTCACTGTGGCCACTTTATTAGAAACACCTGTACAATCTAACAACCTTGCCATAAGATCTATCTTTACAAAGCTTTCTATGACTTGGCATATTCAAAAGTAAGCTGTCATTAAGAAGACATTAACAAAAGGTCCTTCAGCTAAAAGGATCTTTCAAGTCTGGTGCTGTAAAGGTTTAAAACAGAATAACGATTATTTTGTCTGCATACTCTTTTTCCTGAAGGTCTTTCTGATGAATCATAGAGCTAGCTGGAATGAGGACAGGATTTTTCACAATCTGGCAACTCAGATCTGTCCTCATTAAAGATTATTACTGATCTATGAGGCATTAAACAAGTGTATTAACCATTAAATCTGGGGCAAAAAATTTAAATTTGAAAATGGACGCTCCTCCTGCAGCTCTCCGTTCTCTGTCCTAAGCCCCTCCCACCAGACGAGTATGGCACACTTCATACAGTAACCCAGTGTTTCCCATACATTTATTTATTTAATCTTATGTCATTTGACAGCCTTCTCATTTATCAGACCCTAAATGAGACAGGAATTAGCTAGCCACTAAACTCGGCAGTCTCTCCATTTCGCTGCCCGCCACTGTGGACTTCTTCACCAAGAGGAGGGTGGACAGCGGCTCCAGGGACGGACCCTTGGTCGGTGACTGTGACCACAATTCAGTGGTCACAGCTGCAGCACTGAGTCTAACCTGTGTTAACATCAGGAACAGAGTTGGGGAGTTAAAGTGGTCCGGACCCCTGGAGCTAGTTTTGCACTGGCAGGATTCGAACCAGAGCTGCTGCCAGTGAAGTGGTCTGTAGCGGCGGCGGGGAGTGAGGCGGAGGATACGTGATAATTTGAGGCTCTAACGTTAGCTAGCTTTACAAACATGAACTTGAATTAGCCCTAGCAGCGTGCCTTTAGCTCTGATGAGCAGAAGGCTAAAGTATTAACATTATAACATTATACGTTATATTATTTTCTCTCCTTCTCTGAAACGCTTTGCCAATATTTACACATGTTTAATTTTGTTTCCTTTCCGACTCTTGTTAAGACTATCATTTTTAAATGACCTGTGACTGGCCAAAGTCTCCCGTCATGGCCTTGATTTTCTAAAGGCTGAGCCAAAAGAGGGTGCAGAAGTCTTCTCTCAGTCCACCTGAATTACAAAATGCTCAAAGGTTATTATGGTAATCTTGCCCCGTGACTCCAAAATAAAACTGCCTACCCCAGCTTTAATTAAGATATCTGTTTCAACCTAAAAATAAAGTTTTATTAGAAAGTGGTATGATGACTTCGTACTCCATGTAATGTACAGTGATGTTGCTTGAAATCTATATTTAAGCGACTGTAATCATGAGGTGAAATGTGCAAAATGGTATGTTCTTATATAACTGTGATAGATTTTGTTCTGGGGGGTGGTCTCAGGGATGTGTTAGGAGCTATTGACCCAGCAGATGAAGGCTCTGTGAAACTGAAAGAACAAGAAACACAGAAGGACAAGTTAAAGGTGAGTATTGACAGACACAGATACACACGGACACTGGGATGGTCACGTGAGCAAAAAGGGCACCAAAACACACCCGCACTAACAGCAAGGAGTGACCTATTTGCTGGTTGTCAGTCCAAATATCACAAGGCAGAGACATGAATTCCTGTGAGGCCTCTGTGAATATTGTTTGGGAATCCTCGTTTCTCATTACAACAAGAACCTGTTCCAGTAGAAAGGGCAGTGCAAACAATTCATCAGCACATTTTTCTCTGCCTCTCCACCCTAATGTGTCTCGCTGAACTTTGCAAGAAGCTGGCAGTCACTTTCTTTTATGCTCCTACTGTTGAAGTGTATGTTCCAGTTTCATTTAATAAAGTCTTTTTTACTTGTTTGGCTGTTTTCTGTCCGCACATCCTTATTTGCTAATAAGATTTATGCTTGTCCTGTTACAGCATCAACTTTATGACATTTTCTGTGTGCCTCTAAAATTCATTTCCTTGTTGACTATAAATAGTGTGCTTGGGTGCGTCATTCAGGGTTAGGGTCACAGCATTCTCGGAACCCATCGGCTGTATTCGGCGTCTGACTTCTGGCAGACGGCAATACAGCCTCTGGGGGTAGACCCCTGATTTTTTGGCATTCTGGTTTGATTTGAGCGGAGGAGGCGAATTTCTGTTTCCGACTTCCGTTTATATATAAGTAAATATGCTGAACCATTGCGATGGATTGAGAGTTTGCAGTGACGCCAATTATGTTCCGCCTCGTTAGTTCACCGCACGGACCGTTTAACCTGGCAACTACTGCAGCTGGCTCAAATGTGATTGGTCAATATCACGCGGACTACAATTAGCCTACAACCGGAAACCAGGGCTCTTCTGCTCTTCTTCTGGAGGCAAGATCTCCGGGGTTTGCCTACAGACTCTACATTCACTGAATGTAGAGTCTGTATATAGATACTAGGGTCACAGCATAAGCAACATTACATCAGCATGACAATCTCTAAGAAACAAATAATATTTTTCGGGAACAGCTTTATGTGGCTTTAAAGGGAAACCATACAACACCTGTATGTTTTTTGTGATTCACTGTATTTACTCAACAACACCCACAGATAAAGGATTAAGTCTTTTTTTTTTTGTACCTGGACCTGTTTGCCCATGTTTCTGTGTCTTAGTTTAAAACTGGAACAGTACTGAGCAAGAGTGCTGCAGCTGGCAACAACGTAACCATTCAGGCCATTAATGAACCATCAATGTACGTCCACTAAAAGCCCTTGTTTTTGCCACTGACAGCTCAGATTGTTATTTTACATATCTGACAACATTAGAGAGATAAACCTTTCTGTTAGAGTGTAAGATCCTTTTTGTTTAACTAGAAACAGCCCCGAAATAGCCAAACTCACCAGACGCCATTTAAATAAACAGTAATTTTAGTGTGTATAGAGCCAGCATATATTCACATCTAACTGGGTTAATTCGGGGTCTGTCTCAACCAAACCAGAATTTGTGATTTTTGGAAATGGAGATGACAAACATAGATGGCTTTGTGAGATGTAATTTGTTTCTGTTGACTTTGAATAAGTGTGTTCTACGATGATAAAATTATTGCTTAATTAAATGGAGATTGGAGGGTTTTGGCTATTTCGGGGCTGTTTCTGGTGAAACAAAAAGGATCTTTCTCGTTAACGAAATGGGTCTATCTCTGTAGGGATCCTTTTAATAATGTTGTCAGACACTTACAGTAACAATCTAAACATGTCAGTGCAAAAACCAGCACTTTTAGTGGATGTAATTTGACTTTGCACTCATGCGCTGAGTGGTAAACATTCTAGCAGTCTCTCTAAATACTTGACTAATTTTGAAAATGATTGTTCCCATTAGTCACCTGGACACAAACATATTGGAAAGTAAGGTCCACTTTGAAAATACATAAGTTACCCTTCAATTTAAAGTCTTCTTCAAAACACAAACCCAATTTTCTCTTATTTTTTCACATTATTTTATGTTGATGTGCTTGCATTTTATTTTACTACCTTATTCTTCTTCCACCTCTGTGCCTATAAAATTTGATCCCTTTTTGATGTCAGGGTATTGTTGTATTGCACAATTGTTAAATTATATGTGGAATCCATCTGCTCAATAAAATATCTTAAATATAAAACACAAACCCAATTGAAAGTCAGTAATAAAAAGATTAATATTATAAAGAAAAGGCAGAATGAATACGGGCTCTAGTCTCTTATCAACTGACTTAATACAGCATTTTTGTATCTGATCTTTTCCATGCAGATCAACGGGACAGACAGGACAGAGTAGTGATTATTTCTGTTGGAAATATTCCACAAAGTAAATCCATATTTCAGTTGCTGCTTATCAAACTCTCACCTTGAGTGACATTTGGTTGCTATCGTTTGGCTTTTAATGCGATGTTTAGGAGAGGCGTTAGAGTTTGTAATTAAAAACAGTAACTGAACATCAGCCATTTGTCTCACCCAGGACAGTGAAGGACGCACTGGCACTAAGCTGGGGGTCATTGCTCTGCACTGTGTAGACTCCCGTGTCAGCCACCGTGACAGAGCTCAGGGTGAGAGCTCCAGTGAGGACGTTGACTGACGCCCTGCCGCTGTGACTGGGGAAGACTGCCTGCTGGTCTCCCAGCCAGGTGAGGATGAGAGACTCTCCCACTGCCCAGCTTCCACTGTTCAGAGCAGCTGAAGGAGACAGAGACAGTGTCACAGAGTCCCCGACTACAGCAGGGTTGATGGAGGGCTGGACTTCCACAGCAGAGGCCAGAACACCTGAAGAAGAGAAAAATATTTGTTATTCACTGTAATAAAAATAACACAAAATACCTTTCCTCTCTCAGTTTAATCACTACAACTTACTCATCATACACAGAGCCTACCTTGTGTTAAAGCCCACAATACAACAGCCAGGGTTCCTTTGCTTTTCTTCTCCATTTTGTATCAATGGTCTGATGATGTCCTCACTATTTCTCCTCTATTATACCCGTATATGATGGCCAGCCCCCCACTCATAAATACCTCCAGCCGCAAACTCCAGTTCTTATCTGCAGGTGGTTTCTGGTTATTTGGTGTTCACTCTGTCAAACTTACAAAAGATGCATTACATATTCTGTTTATTATCTTGGGTGAAGTTCTGTGAGCAAGATGACAAATTATGACAGAGGGTATGTGAGGCAGGATTAGGGGGTGGTGGGCTTATGGGTGGTGTTTCTTATCCCCCCTTTTTTGGCTAAATAAAACAAATTTTGAAGGAAAATTTATGCTGTTTTTCTCATCAGTGTCATGTCTGTCTTTACCATGATGTCTGCTCACTTATTAGGTAAGGCTTAGATTTTGTGAAGGTTTTCTATTTTTGTCTTTCCACCCCTACTCCTGAAAGTTTCGGTTTGACACTTTCGGCTGCGTGTGGGTGTCAAATGAAAACACCTGCACCTGCAGCACCTTTGTGTCATATGTTTGCTGAGAATGTTAATGTGCTCTGCTCTGTTTATTCAGTGTGCTGAATCTTGCAAGCAGTTACACAACAACCGATGAACCAACCGATTGTTTAACTTAAAAGAGGCAGAACAAGATTTACTGTATGATATGATAGACCAGCATATTAATTACACAATTCAATAGGTGTACTTCTTCAGAAATGCTGTCTTTTCTAGTAGTATAGTGTAGAGGGTAGTCAAACCATTATATCTCTAACAATACCGCTCAGCAAACACCTGTGGCCTTATTTGAGCAGTGATGGTGCAAAGTTCAGTATCTGAGCACACAGGTGTTGTGTACCTGACACACAGGAGGTGAGATTGATGACCAGGTTGCATTATTTGTAGAATATGAAGGCGAGTAGAAGTAGCAGTAGCACTGGAGGACAGATAGTCTAGACTTAAAATTCAGCTTCTACTTATTGAATTTAACAGTTTGTCATCAGGCCTTTTAAAGTTGTTGCATTTTCATTTGACACTTAGTGTTGTCTGCTTGGCAGTGTAATAAACAAAGGCGGAAGAAGAACTCTTTTTTTTTTTAAACTGATTTGTCCAGATGATAATTAGTATGATAAGGAAAAATGCCACATTTGTACTGATGGTTTAAAGTCTTAAAATCTGGTGCAGACATACAAGTATGTAACAATACAACTTTAAAATATCACACTTTTAATAGTAAATCATGATTTCTGAAAAATGAGTGACTAACATTGTGTTCATTGAATGTTTTCCATATTAAATATTTTTTTACACTGGATATAATGCGTGCATATCTTTATATTCAACTTGTTACAAGTTCATAGATATCAAAGACTGGATTGAGCTCTTTGTAGTTTTTGAGATACAGCAATTTTCTTAACAGTAGTCCCATGTACCCAAAGACCAAATATAGTACCAGAATTACAGTTTACATCTGCGTCTGTGAAAACATGGATGCCTCACACACATCTTCCCCCCTAACAGCACAGAAGATCTGTACAATGAGTATAGTTTCAAGAGTAGCGTCATCACTTCAGTATCTGTCCAAATACAGCTTCTGCTGTTCCTGAGATATGACGTTGAGTAACGGCCAGAAAAGTGTTTTTGCAGAACGTTATGATGCCATCACTTCTTCACTATATCCTGTTAGACACGTGTGTGAAATTTAGTCACAATTAGAATATGAATTCTTGAGTTATGGGCAAAATCACGCTTTGTGTGGACCACCAACTATTAATTAGTTTATTCTTGAGTGGACGATTGTACCAAATTTTAGGAAACTCCCTCAATGTCTTCTTGAATTATCACGTTCACAAGAATGAGACTGATGCCAGGTCACAGTAACTTTGACTTCTGACCACAAAAATCCAGTCACTTCATCGTTGAGTCCAAATGGACATTTGTGCCAAATCTGAAGAAATTCCCTTACGGTATTCTTGAGATTTTGCGAATGGGATAGACAGGTGGACAAATTGAAAACATAATGCCTTCAGCCACGGCTAATGCCTGCACGGTGGCATAAAAACTCACTTTTCAGCCAAACGGTTTGACTGACTTTAAACATTTCTTCTGATCTGTGTTTAGGCACAAATGGTTTTCTTGTAAACAACCAAAAATTATGTTTACATTCAGTTTTCCACTCTAAAACACATGCGTATCTCTGAGACCTAACAAACACGCTGAGTGCATTTCCTTCCACACAAAAAAATTGCAGCTCTGGTATTGTCTCCATCATGTTTCCTAGCATACAGTTTGCCCTGCCTTCAACATTCTACTGAAGTAAAAGTACATAAGTATTAGCATCAAAAATACCTAAGTAAAAGTACAGCAATATAAATGACTCTATTAAATTAATCTATAAAATCACATCATAATTTATTGGTTGATTATATTTTGTGATTATCTAAATCTAAAAAGTGAGTTGCCAAATAAATGTAGAGGAGTAGAAGTGCATGCATTAGGCAGCATACAGTGACAACAGCATACAAATACTCCAAAATAGTACTGAATTTTTCCACCAATGGTTATAAAGTTAGAAAGTCTGAACTGCCTGAGGAGCCTCTCCACACATTCAAATCGTATTGTTTGAATAATTCTGCCATGACATTCAAAATGTGTGGTAACCTGTCACATTAACAGCCTCACATCAGTGTGTGAGGTTTTTTGTTTCTTTTCAAGAGTCTGTACAGATAAATGGTCCCAGTCCCTGCACCAGCTGCTAGCTTAAGTCAGACAATAATAGTGTGCATGTCAGTTCAGGTGTCTGAGGTTTATTAAATGATATAGAAAATCTTGTTGATCATCCCACGACTGTGTGTCATATTCTGTTTTGAATGTCATATGCAAAATGCAGCTTGCACAATTTTGTATGCAAATGTTTTGTATAAGCCTTCATTAAAATAACTAAGGTATTAAAACAATATAACAACAATAAGAACAATAAGAATAACAAAAATAATTTCTAAAATAATCAAAATTTCACTGAATGCTCCTGTTAACATCTCACTCATTTAGTCTCATACAGCTGACTCATGCCTCCATCTTGTAATCCAACACCCTGACCAGAGGAACCACATTTTCCAGTAAGAGAGCAGAATCATCCGGCTGAGTTTGTCACCTGAGTTTGTCCTGACAACGCCCTGTTATTATTAAATGTTAAGCCTTGACAGATATGGGTATATGGATGCTTGTGTGGCACGACAAAGTAGAAGCCACATTGGTTTGTTATTAATGCTTTCAGGTCACATATGGGACACCTGAAGCGTGGGCTTTCCTTCTATGTGTATGTGATTTTGTGTAATATATTATTAATATATTTTTTATTTAGGGTCATCAAAACATCCTTTTTCATCTTCAGAACACTGCTAAGGTCAGACCTTTTTTTAACCCAGGAAGATGCCGAAACATTCACTCACGCTTTTGTTATCAGCCGCAATTCCCTTTTCACTGGACTACCCAGAAAGTCAATAAGAAAACTACAGCTAGTCCAGGAAAACGGATCACATTACCCCACTGCTGAAGTCACTACACTGGCTACCTGTTTTAGAATTGATTCTGAAGTTCTTTAACTCATTTATAAAGCTTTCAATGACCTTGCCCCCTCCGTATATCAGAGATATATATCATTTTATGTTCCAACCAGATCACTAAAGTCCTCCACTGCTTTACTTTTCAATGTTCCTCATGTGTCCCATTAAACTACTGGTGAGAGCGCTTTCTGCTTTCACACCCCTTACGACCTCTGGATATGAGAATGGCTCTCTCTGTATTTTTAAACGTGAATTAAAGACCTATCTTTTTAATCTGGCTTTTGATGTGGAGTAACATTACAGTCTTGATTTTTAAGTTTCAACCTCTGGTTTTCACCTTTTTTGTATCTCTCGTTTTTATTTCTATTCTATTTTATTTATTTATTTACTCACTCTTTCTTTATTCTATGGTGTTTAAATGGTCTTTTTTGTTAGTTTGTTCTGTTTTGGTTGGTTAACTTTTTTAATACTTTATTGTCTTGTGCTTGTGTCATTCCAGTTTTGCCACGCGAAGCACTTTGGGCTGCATGTTTGTATGAAAGGTGTTATTTGACATAGGGTGATTTTTTATCAGTTATGATACAGATATTGATTGTGTTGTTTAGCTGCTGGTATGATGTTGCCTAACCAGCTTTAGTCTGCATCTTTGCTCCTTCTGTTCACATTAACACAATGGAACTACATCTTTGGACTTAAGTGTATCATCATTATTCTGTTGACTTGAGCTTAATTAAATTACAGGCAGTATTATTCTGAGTGAGTTACACTAAAACACATACAGTGCAGTGAAAGAAAGCTCAATAAGGACTTAATTTTGTTAACTGAGAGAACAGTGCCCCCCTTTGGGAAGTGAATAGCATGCCATGCCTACAACTGAGAGGCGCAAAGTAAAGAATAAGAGTTGAAAAGCCAAGAAAACAAAAGCAAATAAAAAAAGAATGGTAAACGATGTTGTTTTTCTCCCCAGGATCAAAGTAAACAGATATTTTAGTGCAGCTGGGTAAGAGCAAAGTACATCTAGTAGAGTTGTAGATCATGGAAACATTTTATAACATATATTATATGCCATATTTCATTAAAAACAAGTGAAAAGAAGAAAATAAATACAATAGAGAGATTTACTTTGCAAGCACAGAATCAGTATCATTAACATTTCAATGACGGACAGAAGCAAGTCCAAGTTTTTGGGCAGTTAATCATAGATATTATACCACTGACATACACCATGTAATCGTTGTCTTTGTATTGTTTTTACCACGACTATACATTTACAACATATAGTTTGCACCCTGACGAAGACCGGTTGATGTTTTTAAAGTGAGCAGCCATGTATTTGAAATAAAGGCTTTTTAATTGAATTCAAACGCATTTGTTCCTGCCTCACGCATGAGTGCCTGAAATTCATCTTTTTTTCCTATATAGTTTGTGATGTTTCGACTAAAACTTGAATGAAGCTTCAGCTTTGCTCTGCTGTCGAATGGAGACCTTTTTTATGTGGTTGCTTTAACATGAACAGTTTTAAATAGTTTCCTAGTTTTGCTTCCTCATTCCAACCAAACCACAGGTCTAAAATAATATGAAACAGGTGAGACAACACCAAAAGAACAAAAATAGATGGATTATGTTGTTGCGTCACAGGACAGCTGCAAGAGCAACCAGAGGCCTCTGTCTCCCTCGTGTGTTTGCTCTGTGTGACTCTCTTATCTGTCTTATTTGTTCAGTTTCATGAGGCTAAGAGGGGCCTTGGTGTGTCACTAACCACAGCCGCTTTAAAAACACATCAGTTTAATAAATCAGTTATTCTCTACATAGAAGGTGACTTCACAAAAAGTGTATCAGTAACACATCCAGGTCAGAGGTCAACTTCAAGTCAAACAATGTCTCATGATGCTGGGAAACACCAAGAGTCAGCAACGGTGTCGACAAAAGGTTTACAAATGTGTCACCATCAGAGATATTATTTATAAAACAAGAACAGTATGTAAGATTTCCTGGCATCTACAGGTGACCAGCTGAGACTTCTGTGAGTCAAGCATGAACTCCTAGCTAGGATTTGTTGAGCATTCATTGTTCAGGAGGTTTTTACAGAGACAAATTATCCATAGAGGTCTCTTTCTCTCCAAGAGACCGCTGCTTTACATTACAAATTAGTTTTATTAGTGTGACATTGTTCCTGGTCTCAATGCGGAGGAACTACTAACTATGGTGGCGGATGTGAAAATGCAAATGGCACTATCTAGAGGAGCCAGTGCTTGGTTTGTCCGTTCTTGGCTACTGTAGAAACATGATGGTGCAACATGGTGATCTCTGTGGACGAGGACCAGCTCCCTTTGTAGATAAAAATGTCTCATTCTAAGGTAACAAAAACAAGACGACACTTATTTTCAGATGATTATACACTAAAGAAAACATACTGATTCTATTATATTGCATTTCTGCCAGTAATTTCTCCCTAAATCTAACACACTGGACCTTTAATAATACAAAATGTTAGCATTTTTTAACAGGATGTGACGGCAGCTGAATGCTCAAACACTATGAAAATGACAACAGTTAAAAACTATGTCGCTGTATCTTTAATAAAACTAGAATTTAACACATAGAATAGAAAATTCCACTGTAGTAAAAAAATATTGCAGCTCTGTATGTGTGTGTATATTAATTAAATTACACCATAAATTTGTGCTGAACCTTTGTATGCATCAGGTTACATTTGACATTCACCATCAAATGTAACCAGGTGAAAAACAGGTGACAGATTAAATGGATAAACTCTGTTATTGCAGTCCTGTGGTTCACATTAATTTTGGACGCTGCTGTTGCAAACAATGAGAAAGATACATAAATAATACTGTGTAAAAGGAGTACACTGTCAAGTATATGACTAACTATGAAATATTGGTCAAATATATTAGTATTTTGATTGGAACTGTGCCATTTTGGGGATTATATAGGCCACAATTTTGAACTATTTTCCTAAAAAAACATATATACACACACTTTCATTTCAATTTGTTTCATGACTTAATAAAACAGTTATTTTGTTACTCATATTTACAGGATTTCATGGTACACAATATTTGATGAAGACATGAAGCTGGTGTATTAAAATGGAAAAACCAGTGTGTTTAAACATGATAGCACCCCTCCAGCTTTAGCCTCCTTACACTGGCTCCCAGTATGTTGTAGAATAGATTTTAAGGTTTTACTGATTACTTTTAAGGCTCTTCATGGTCCCTCTCCCAGTTATGTCTCCGACCTGGTAGTGCCGTACACACCAGGATGTACTGGAACAGCCTAGAGTCAGTGATTAAGTCCCTTCTTAAAAAATACTTAAAATCAGAGAGCCTTCCCTGATCCTACTTAAGTTTTAAGTTCATTTAGACTGTCATTTCCTAAGTTTTTAAATACCATGTGTTTTTATTAGTTCTTTTAAAAGTTTTCATGCCTTGTCTGTTTTAATTATTGACATGTAAAGCACTTTGTAACTCTGTTTTGAGAAGCGGTTTATGAATGAAGATTATATCATTATTATATTGTAAACTAAACATAGTGTTATGGGAGAGAGAAAGGCAAATAAATACATTTCAAAAACAGCAAAAACAACCATTAAAGCTTAAAAAGGTTTAAGCTCTATGGATCAAAAAGCACCAGCAGTCCCACGCTGACGATCATTGTTAACAGTCCACAGAGCGGCACAGCCTCTGAACCAGAGACAGGAACACCTGTGTAAAGATGAAGATAACATTGGATTTGATATGAAATCTGACACTGATGTTAAAGCAGACACAAGAGCAAATACTAAAGAGTTGTCACCTTTAACTTCTACCATCTTGGTGGCCTCAGCAGAACGTCCAACAGCTGTATTTTCTGCTATGCAGGTGAAGTTTTGGACAGTACCCGGTATGGATGGGGTCCACAGGAGCTTATTTTGATGGACAGCAAAGTAGGTTCCGGTGGGGAAACCGTCCCTGAACTCCCACCTGACTGTACAGTCCACGTTCAAGGTACAGCTCGTCAAGCAGGTGAATTTATTCAATCTGCCAGGAAACACTGTGTCACGTCCGCTGATGCTGACGACCCACGGATCAACTACAAAATAACATAAAGTTTACTCCAGTATGTGAACGACATTAAATTCTTTACACTATTCCTCTCTTCATGAATGCTTACAGCTGAGCAGATACCCCAGGCTGAAAACTCTCGTCTGCTGAAGTGTCGGCACGGAACTCTCACACAGGTAGAATCCAGCGTCAGAGGGCAGCGGTGAGTCAAAGTGAAGTGTGAGGTTGTTTTGCAGCAGCTGCATATTTTCACGCAGGGTCACCTTCTGTCCGTCTTTGTACCAGACCACCTCGTTCTCCAGGTGTGAGGGGTCACCTGATGGAGCACCGTGGCAGACGAGGTCCAGTGGCCGGTCGAGAGATGGGACAGTGGTTCGTGGACTGAGCTGCACAGACACTCGATCTGTAACAGAGGACACCAGATGCAGGGGATTTTAAAATCATTAAGAAGGAAGAAGCATCTAAATCATGTATCACCAATTCTGCATTGTCATGTAGTTGACCTGAACCATCAGTGCTCCTCACACTAGCATGTTTAATGTTGAGATGCTTCTGCCTGTCAGAGAGATGTTGTCTGTAATGATACGAGGATCTGAATGATGTGGGACAGACGCTGTAAGAGCAGTTCCCAACCTTTTTCCTTCAGGGATTCCTTTTCTATCATTGAGTAAACTGAATATTTCAAATTGTATTCAGAGCGTAACAATAACTATACAGAAGAAATGATAAACTGTACACTTAACTCCAGGACATTTGTGTAAAACAAGCACTTTAGATGGATTTTGAGCAGATTATTTCCTTTTCCTGTTCCTAATAGACGTCTTTTTTGGACAAAGTCACTGTTTTTTCTTCCTGATGTTTCGCCATTGTTAAATTAGCTCTCTGGTTGTTGTAACTGTACTTTTCTGATGCGGATGAGGCTGTTTAGCAGGGTAAAGGCTCTGTGAATATAACTCGTGTCCAGGTCTTCACTGTGCCCTTATCCCTGTCCTGTGCGGTGTGTTTTAGGTTTTATATCTTGAAAAACATTCTAACCTTAAGAAATAACAGTTTCATTTAATGTTCCTCACAGAAATGGATGAAAGAATATCAAAAAGGCTTTTACAACACCACCATTGCACTTTGGCGACCCCTAGTGGGAGTTGGGAACCAGTGCTGTATATGGTTGAAATTATAGTCCTGTACTGTATTGTATTTTTGTGTTTTAATTATTGAAGTAGGAACAATTGAAGCTCACTGAGGATTTATTTATTCATCAAACTAGGGACTGACAGAGTAGTTTTCCACATCATGCATATGCATATAATAATGGATTCAGTACTGCAATGGAAATGATTAATATCATCAAAAAGTTAATCAAGAATATAATAAAAATTGTGTAATTATGTAAAATCTATGCAACAGTTAACACTGTCATGGAAACATGTAGGCCTCTGTACTATGTGCTGCTAAACAGAAACAATGTGAAGTAATCTTGCATTTTATGGGATGCCACAAGCACAAGTGCCTGACATGATGTTTACCCTTTGTCAGTGTGTACATTACTTGATATCCAGGGACATGACTAGATATGATGACTGCTCTGTCACCCGTCTGATGATGCTAGTTTAAGATCCCTGACCTGAGTATAAGTATCTTGTTCAAGGCTCACTCTTTGCACTCGGCTTATTCTTGACTGTTTGTTGTGAGTCCATCTGCAGATGCTGAATTAAACTTACAGAAAGACAAGTTTCTGGGTCAATGTGTTTTGTTTGGTAGAAATTGCCACCACAAAAGTATCAAAATAAAAGTCTTGTTCTGTCAAAAAATGTCTCCTGTGACTGACAATATTTTATAGGATTGTTAATACTGATGAATAAATGCATAAGCAGCATGTCAAGGTGAAGCTGATTTTATGCTCTCTATATACTGTTTGGTATTTTTGTCCAGTTGTTTCCAACCTAGGGGTCACGTGCCCTAAACAGGTCCCAAGAAAAATCTGAGTGCTGGTAAAATTATTTTAAAAAATCTTACCCTGAAAAAGTACAAATATATCCCTCTAAAATGTGGAAGATAAGATGTATAAAGTATAAGTACATAAGTAAGATTGTTATTCACGTCGGCGGCAATGACACCCGGTTACGCCAATCGGAGGTCACTAAAATTAATATTGCCTCGGTGTGTGAATATGCAAAAACGATGTCGGACTCCGTAGTTTTCTCTGGACCCCTCCCAAATCTGACCAGTGATGACATGTTTAGCCGCATGTCATCATTTAACCGCTGGCTGTCCAGGTGGTGTCCAGCAAACGATGTGGGTTTTGTTAATAATTGGCAAACTTTCTGGGGAAAACCTGGTCTTATTAGGAGAGACGGCATTCACCCCACTTTGGATGGAGCTGCTCTCATTTCTAGGAACCTGGCAAATTTTATTAGTAATTTAAATCCCTGACAACCCAGAGTTGAGACCAGGACAGAGAGTTGCAGTCCTAAACGCCTCTCTGAGCTTCTAGTTCAGTTACCCAGCCATAGTTTTCATAGTTTTATACAAACGGTGTCTGTCCCCCGACCACCTAAATTATTTAAATCTAAAATTAAACAAAGAGGAGTTGTGCATAACAACCTCATAAAAATTAAAACCTCTTCTGTGACAGAAAGACAAAACAGGAGAATTAAATGCGGACTGTTAAATATCAGGTCTCTATCGTCTAAAGCAGTGTTAGTAAACGAATTAATATCAGATAATCATATTGATTTACTCAGTCTCACTGAAACCTGGCTGTGTCAAGATGAATATGTTAGTCTAAATGAGTCCACTCCTCCCAGTCATAATAATACCCACATTCCTCGAGGCAGCGGCCGAGGAGGGGGAGTTGCAGCCATTTTTAACTCTAGTCTGTTAATCAGCCCTAAACCTAAACTAGATTATAATTCATTTGAAAGCCTCGTTCTTAGTGTTTTACATCCGACCTGGAAAACCTCGCAGCCACTTTTATTTGTTATAGTGTACCGTGCTCCTGGCCCGTATTCTGAATTTGTATCTGAATTCTCAGAGTTTTTATCCAGTTTAGTTCTTAAATCAGATAAAGTTATTATTGTAGGCGATTTTAACATTCATGTCGACGTTGATAATGACTCCCTGGCTACCGCGTTTATCTCATTAATAGACTCCATTGGCTTCAGTCAGGGTGTACATGAACCCACTCACTGTTTTAACCATACCCTCGATCTAGTTCTGACGTATGGAATTGAAATTGATAACCTAAAAGTCTTTCCACAGAATCCCTTGCTATCAGATCATTATCTGATTACTTTTGATTTCTTTTTACTCGATTACACGCCACTCAGCAACAGTTACTATACTAGATGTTTATCAGATAGTGCTGTCACAAAATTTAAGGAAAAGATTACTTCGTCGTTAAATTCAATACCAATACCTTCAGTAACAGAGGTTTCCCGTGCCGACTTTAACCTCTCCCAAATTGATCATTTTGTTGATAGCGCCGTAGGCTCGCTGCGAACAACGCTCGACTCTGTAGCTCCTCTTAAAAAGAAGTTAACAAAGCAAAGAAAGTTTGCTCCTTGGTATAACTCTCAAACCCGTAGGTTAAAACAAATATCGCGAAAATTTGAAAGGAATTGGCGATTAACCAAACTGGAAGAATCTCGTTTAATCTGGACAGACAGTCTCAAAACTTATAAGAGGGGCCTCCGCAATGCCAGAGCAAACTATTACTCAGCATTAATAGAAGAAAACAAGAACAACCCCAGGTTTCTTTTCAGCACTGTAGCCAGGCTGACTGAGAGTCAAAGCTCTATTGAGCCTTGTATTCCTTTAGCCCTTAGCAGTAATGATTTTATGAGCTTTTTTAATGACAAAATTCTAACTATTAGAGGCAAAATTCATGACCTCCTGCCCTCAGATGGTAGGCCTACCTATCTAACCTCAAACACAGCTGTAGAATCTAATATATATTTAGATTGCTTCTCCCCAATTTCTCTTCAAGAATTGACCGCAGTGATTTCTTCATCTAAATCATCAACGTGTCTCTTAGACCCCATCCCAACTAGGCTACTTAAGGAGGTCTTTCCTTTAGTTAACACTCATATATTAGATATGATCAATATATCCCTATTAACAGGCTATGTACCACAGTCTTTTAAGGTAGCTGTAATTAAACCTCTCCTAAAAAAGCCCACCCTGGATCCAGAGGTGTTAGCCAACTATAGACCAATATCTAATCTTCCCTTTATGTCAAAGATCCTTGAGAAAGTAGTCGCAGACCAGCTGTGTGATTTTCTCCAGGATAATAATTTATTTGAGGAATTTCAGTCAGGATTTAGAGTGCATCATAGCACTGAGACAGCTCTAGTTAAAATTACAAATGACCTTCTGATTGCTTCAGACAAAGGACTCGTCTCTGTTCTTGTTTTATTAGATCTTAGTGCGGCGTTTGACACAATTGACCATCAAATTCTACTGCAGAGACTGGATCACTTAATTGGCCTAAAAGGTTCAGCACTAAGCTGGTTTAAATCTTATTTATCTGATCGTTTTCAATTTGTTGACGTTCGTAATGAATCATCCTTACGTACCAAAGTTTGTTTTGGAGTTCCGCAAGGTTCTGTGCTCGGACCAATCCTATTTACTCTATATATGCTTCCTTTAGGTAACATCATTAGAAATCACTCTATAAATTTCCATTGTTATGCGGATGATACACAGTTGTATTTATCGATGAAGCCAGAAGAAAGTAATCAATTAACTAAACTCCATAACTGCCTTAAAGACATAAAAAATTGGATGAGCACCAATTTCCTGATGTTAAATTCAGACAAAACTGAAGTTATTGTTCTTGGC